TGTAACATCCCACTTAAGAAAAAGGTTCACAAGGACAAGTAAAATGGGAGAATTCTATTCCATAAAAGACTTGGAGCTGATTATTTTACTATCTTGTTTGACTTGAGCCCAGTGCAACAAAATGCTATTTTGAGTTATACTCTTTCCAGTGACTGAAATCTTGGACCAACGAATTAACATTTGAATACAATTCCTCCTCTCCTTCATTGAGAGAGAATACACGAAAACACATATGCTTCCTTTCCTGGAGTGTTTTGGGTATTAACAAGGAGGTATCTGATTGAGTTTTTGTTCGATAATGTTACAAATTTTTTTGGTTGTTTTCATTTGGCTTTAACAATCTCAAAATCGTGCAAATTGTCTATCACCTGTAAAATACCGCTCGATGACCCAAGGCAATAGTTCTTCCTTTGATATATAATTTCGCTTCTGGTATATTCAAGGAGCTAATAGTTTTTACCCCTCGGAGTGTAGTATTAGACTGAAAATTATATTTGAATTGATCATGGCTAACATTATTATTTATATTTTTTTAGTTTATAAAAACATTGTCAAATGAGATGATCTACTAAAGAAAAGTTAAAGTAGTTATACTAAAAATGAAAATCAGAGCTACCACAATCTTGAAAACTATCTTCCATAATTTTTTCTTTCAGAACACTCATTTTAAAAACATTCCTATTAAAATTTAAGTCTAATGAGTCGTCCGATACTTCGAATTGTTTCGCTGTTACCATTTCATCTAAAGGTAGCAATTTACCAGGCTTATAAAACCTTAAATCAACTCTTCCTACTATATATAACATGTTAATAATTAATTCTAAACCCCCCCTCACAAGTGATATACATAATAATCGGTTTATAAATCACGCCACCTTCTTCCATGAATCTGTCTTGGAAAACAGAAATAGCTCGACATACTGCTCCAATAAAGAAGAAGATTGTTGAGATAGCTATAATTGCTAAAGATTTTTTATGTTTCATATCGCCTCTTTGATTACTTAAACCCTTTATAACATTATAGTAACCGTGCGTTGAGGCAATTACTCGGGGAGCAAGACAGTGACGACCATTCCTCATAATAAAACTTTTCGCAACCTGTTGAGCTGCCCCAGGCGGCGTAAAATAAAATGGAGAGAAGGATTCTAGCCACCAAGGCTGATAAGTATACAACTCTTTATCGTCTTTTGCAGGCCCGAAAAAGTATGCTAAACCTAATAGACTTAAAGAGGTAACAGAATATACTACGACTAATATCGATGAAGCCTTATTTGCTGCTCTGTTTTCAAATACTGATTTTGATAAAAAATGATAAAACGGAAAAACAGCGACAAATACGGTAAAGCCAATAACTAGTATAACCATAAAATAGGTTACATTCATAAAGGTCCAAAATGACATCCGGGAACCACCTACTGGATGCCTCCATGCGAAAATTCTTTGTGCTAGGATCAAGTTTAGTGAAACAAGAACAACAGAAGGAATAATCATAAACACTTCGCTGCAATACCAGTATCAATTTTTGTATTATCTTTGGCCCAAACGATTCGACAAAGCCAACCATTACATCTTAATAAGCAATATATTATCCATCCTAAGGGAATTTGAAAATAATGTCCTCTGATCATATAAATAGTAAGATGTAGGTCATCTGAATTGGTGCTTATATAGGTCCTATAAAATATGTCTTACAGCTCTTGATATTTGGTTAGTGATAATTTCTCGGCCGATAAATGCCACATGACAAGAGACATAACAAAATATATTTTCGAGGCTTTATCATGATTGCAGTCTAAGGGTTTTTCAAGTGAATTTTTTAAGATAGAAGATTTAAAGATCTAAACAATAGCTAAACGTGAGAACTCACATGTTGTATTCTTTCTGGAGTTTCAAGGATGGCAAGCAAGAAAAACGTACCGATAACTAGAAAGAGACACAATTCCTAGATATTTCAATTACTTTAAAATCAATTGGGTTATCAAATAAGTAGTTTATATCTTGTGCTCTCTCGGGTGATAAGATATGCTTTAAGTTCGTTTCATTTCTTGAGAAAAGTTCATTTTTCGGTATTTCAATGTACGTTGTACCTAAAATTGTATCAAACATTTGCCTCAGAAGAAGGCGATGGTGCTGATGGTGCTGATTCGCAAATTTTCAATGGGGTGCTTATACACATGGCTTATTCTTTGGGAATACACAGAGAACCACGACAGTTTA